TGCGCTGCCTGTGATATCCTTACTGATTGCTCTCCGAAGGCATATCTCCTTCTATCTTGTTGTTATGTATTGTGCATGTTGGTCTCCTGATAGGCATTTATAGTGTATGATTCCTATGAGAGAGAACTTCATGAAATGATCTAACATGCCGTCAGGACCGTGAACAAAATATCCGATCGCTTCAAATGTGTTGTGATTAGTTAACATTGGAGTGTACTCAGTCAATCAGTTTCGATGGTCGTATATCCTTCTGAATCACGGAAACAACGGCGCAAGAGGATGCTTCCGATGTATGGATGTTTCCGATTATGTCCAGTGTATAAGCTTTGGTTGAAAATAACCCGAGTCTGGAACAGGGTCTGAGGAAACAGTTGTCTCAGGTCACTCTTCCCCCCTCCCCCTGCTATCTTCAGAAGATTTGTTGAGTAAGTAGTTGCTGCTTCGCCTTCCCGTCTGGAAATGTTCATGAAACGTGCCAAAACAATCGCGGTTGCAACTTTTCAATCTGGGAAAACAGCAGCTGTACATCAAGGCATTCTTGAATATCTGAACTCGTGCACTGCTATATACTATGCTGTTGGGACAATATCGCCTAATACCGTAACAAAGCTGCTACAAGTAATTAATGTCATATCATAAGTATGCGCAATTACCTACGACAGGCTTGTGCATATGGGTAATATTATGAATCCTAAGTGATGCTTATAAGTGACCGCGTAGCCTTCCTCAGAGTTCTGTATAACAGTGCTACAGAATGGGAGGTGCTGAACATAAGCTGATGTCAGCGTGAAGAAAACAAGTTCATAACGGAATTCATTCCGACCCTCAGCTGAAACATTCATCGGAGCAGTGCGGCAGTGGAATATGATAGTATTTCAAGAATCAGGTATCAGTCTTAATTGAAGAAAGTGGTTGCAATCCTGTTATGACGAAAATTAAGTTTGATTTCCGTCACTCGCTTTCATTCAACTGCTCGATGAAAACTCCTCGAAAATTTGCCAACCAACGGTGTGCCTGTCGCTTTCCTTCAAACTACACCAATACATTTTTTGCCATCGATTTGGAGGCATTTATGAGGGCAGTATGCTGGTGTCGAACCTCCGTTTAATATCTCTTTGGTCTTGTAATATGTCCTTTACGTTGTCACTTGCTGATTGAGTAGACCCATACTTGTACTTCCATGCTTTCGTTCGTCTTCCGGTGTCATCTATTCATTTACAACATATACTTTCCATACAGCTTTGTCAAGGTTAGTAGATTTTGGGTTTCGAGTCCATGATGACATGCGCAATTGGCACTGGAAGCCCGCCCCAATCGAAGACCTTATAGGAAAATTTCAGACCTATTAAAGTTCCTCATGCCATTATACTCTTCTGTTAATTTCGAACTGTTGGCTTTGATATCTATCACAGTGAAATGCAGTTCTGCACTGTTCAAGGATCGAGCTTACTGACATCGCCGATCGATTAGATATCCATTGTCCGATTTGTCTTAGCTATGGGTGCACCATGAGCGCAAGTCGAAGCTCCTACCGTACTCTTTGTTCTCTATTTCTGCCTCAACCACCAACCAAGAAGTTTGAGCAACGGACGGTCCCGGCGCTGCCTGTGTAACTCAGTTTTAAACTCTACATCTCTGCTGGTTATCTCTCAGGTGAGTCACAGGACAGCCCCTTTGCTGGTGGTGTCGAAGAAGGAAGAAATCACATCTGTTAATTCAGTCGGTTGTCGAATTCTTGCGCTCAGAATATGATCTCGGAGGAACACCGTGCATATTTTTCTCGCCATCGCTCTTTGCGTCACAATATGTGTATCTCATCAACTTTAGTGGCAAACGAACAATCGGGTTGTAAATCGTGGCTCGTAGGATGGCTAATTCGAGCAGTTCCTTCATCGCCCGCATGAAGCGTGTAACGCGTAGCTGTGTGTTGAACCATTTACCTGTTGAGCATGACCTGAGCCCTGTGCAGATTCCCTTTTAACCCAAGCGTAACTCCCTTCTTAGTACTGTCTCCCTCTTGGATTCACCTCTGTAGTTCTTCTGGACGTGTTGGATGTCAAGTATCAGAATGGCAAGGACTCCGAGGCAGCCAGAGCTAAAGAAACAATTATTTGTAGATAATATTCTGACTTACCATTAACCTCTGTGTATATACATTTCATGGGCCTATTTAATCCTAGAGTAACGGGTCCGCTTATGCGGATAGCAACAATCGCTGTACAGGCTAATAAGCTTGACTTGACTTGAACTGAAGTATGTCAAGTGAGTCCATGGCAAGTAAAATCTGATCGGAGTCTGAAAGCTCACACTTACAAGTGGGTTCGCATTCTTCCGTATATTTCATGTGCGGTACCATGCGCGGCGAAATGACAGAGCAGCACCAAAGTGATGGTAGTGTTTCAGACTGTAGACATCCTTGTAACGTGAGGGAGACTAACTCCTAACCCCTGTGGGGATAATGAAGACTTACCCTGGCTGCTTGCTGTATACATTTGGCAAAAAACATAAAAATTGTCATTCTTACCATGAGCTGAGGGTTTGCGTTCAAGTCGATGCTTTCGGGGCCGAAGAATTTTCTCTCGGCTACGTCTCGTAGCTGCTGAAGCATGTATCCGACCTTTTCGAGGTCGTTCGCAGTCAGCGAGTCGCTGAGTGCAACGGGCGAAATCGGTTTAGTGCAGGCCTGAAGTTCGGGTGGTTGGCAAATACTCTCAGCTGACATACGGCATACCTGACGTGAGGCGAGCAGAGTGACGAGGAAGCCGCCGATGGCGAAAGAGATAGAGAGGCTTGAGTGCATCGCGAGGCGGTCAGCCAATCGTGTCGATGTTCCTGCCAGTGATGTTCGTCGATCGTCGAGGGACGGCCTCGAGAGCGCGTTTTATAGTTTCGCTGAGCGAACATGGTCAGTGCTTAGAGAACAGAAAAAGCCTAGCCTTCCGCTCTCAGCGCTTCCTCTGATGCTTCCGCACTCGGCCGCAAATCTGGGTTAAGACAGTCGCAAACACGACTCGTAATTGGAGCGGTGAAAACGTACTACCTACCCCTTTGTCGTCGTCGTTATGCAATTCGTCATCTCGAACTCCACCGCCGAAAACGTTTCGTTTCCGATGTATGATCTGCGAAAAACTGATCGTCAGGCTGTGCGTTGTCGATGACAGGTCGCTCGGTGACGGTTCCAATCGCCCGGGTCGTTCCACTTCGTCGTTTGGCTCTTCCGTTCCGCCCGAACGTATATTCACACTGAGTGCCGAGTAAAGCAATTTCCGGAGGTCTTCAAAGATTCACCGTCGGCTCTGGCTCTGAAACACCGACGGAATCCGTACG